CTGCACCTGAAAGCTGTTTCTCTGTCGTTCTGAGCAGCCTGGGGCTGGAGGCTGCTAATCCCTGGCCGCCTGAGAGCAGAACTTCCCCAGGAGGCCCGGTGGCCTGCACCAGGGGTGGGCAGTGGGACGTGGGGGGACCCAAGTCTCAACAGTGCCTGGGGAGGCGCCCTGGGCTGCTTCTGGAAAGCGCAGCATACTGGCTGGAGCTTCTCGGTCTCCCTCCAGCGTGCCCTCTGAGCAGACTTCTCCCGACCACTGCCCGCAGCCTGGAGCATGTCTGGTCTCCATGTATCAGCGCAGGAGGGGCTGGGGAAGGCCCCCCAGGGCCCTGGTCCAATGCCAGCTAATCCAGAACCCGCTCAGAACGTTATGCTCCCCCAGCTGCAGCACCCTGGGTGGGACACCCAGAAAGGGGTGCTGGGCAGAGGGATGGAGGTGACGCCTCCCTGTGGCACGCGGCAGCAGGTGCACTTCTGCTGGGATCCTGCCAATGGTGTCCCAGCTTTAATCCTACACTGTCCCAGGCACACAGTCCCAGTCGTACCATTCTTTACGCATGTGTCCAATTTTTGAAATGAGTTTAAACAGGCTAATAAAGACAGGCTCAGCTGGAACGATTACCCAGAAGACCCATTCACACCATGTGTGCATCTCAGGAGGTGTCTAGTGTAATGCCGTAATTATCTCCTTGCCTAAACAGTTACACATTTTGGTGGCTATCACACGACATGCAGGCTTAGCTTCAGCTCAACAACTTCAACAAGCAGGAACATGCACTGGGCCTGACTCAGTTACAAAGTAGCTGCCGAGACAGTGACGACAGAGGGTGCAGATTGGCCCCAAGACAAGCAATGCATGAGGCGCGTGTGGCAGCGGGGACAGTGCCACGTGGCTTACCTTTCGTCCACGTCCTGGAACAAACAATTTGGTGTGTGTGTGGTGGTAAAAATTCTCTTTTCAGGAGGAATTCGAGGGGCTGAAAGAAGAGAATTTTGCACATTTCTGATTCTGAGAAATGCATACTTAATGTGGTTACATTACCACCACTAGAGACACCATGTGTCTTTAGTGAGGGGAGCCCAGAAAGGTTAAAAAGTCAGCTCTGAACAACCACTCATCACAAAGGGAGCACTGTGCCCAAGGACCACTGGCCAGCCTGTCAGCTTCTCTGTGGACCAGTTTGCAGCTAGAAAGCCAGGCATCCACGTTCACAGAGCCACATGTGGCGTTGGCAAGCTCCTGCAGGAAGGCATCTCCGTGGCTTGTAACATCCAACAAGATGAGCTGAACTAACTCTTTTCCAAACGTGAGTTAGTTATTTGGATTCAAACTTGTCAGCAGATGTCACTGCCTTGGGACTTCAGTTTCTAAGGTGGGCAAAGGTAATTTGCATAGAGAAAATCCTATAGCCAGAATTTTCCTCAACTTCCAAATTCATGGACAAAACATTCAGAATTCCAAAATGTTTCCTTCTTGAAGGTGACTCTGCTCATTAGGGACAACAACTTGCTGAAATCTAAGTAACCCTCTAAATCTTTATGAACTATTTGGAAGAGAATATCCTATATGCAGGAACCCACTGACTATCTGAAAGAAAGCCACATACCTAAAACATTTCTACCACTTAAAAAAGTGCCTTTTTGGAAAAGCCATCACTAGGGCCAGCCGAGTGGCTCAGTTGGTTAAGAGTTCGCTCAAGAGTGTGAGCTCTGAGCAACAGCGGTTCAAGTCCCGGCCTGAGCTGAGCAGCCGCTGAGCTGCCAACAGGTGGCAGGATGGCTCAGCTTAAAAAAAAATGGAAAAGCCATCACTAACCACTGAGAGAAGATTAATTGAACACGGACTAGATTGGACCCCAGTGGCTCAGCAGTTAAGATGGTGCCTGCTGTCAGAGAATTCTGAAACCATGTGACTGGCTGAGTTGCCATGGTGAGGACCTGCTGGCCAGCGCCGTGGCCGGTACGAGGGCTGTGTCACAAGGCAGTTTAGTAGGAGGGGTCGCTCAAAGATACTATTAGGGTGGCCAAGTGTCTTGGGACCTTTGGGCTTCAAGGGAAGAACCAGATTTTGGGTTTTACTGGGGGGAGAGGGTGGCCTGAGGAGCTAGCAGGACCGGGAGGGGTCACCGGGTAAGGAGAGCCTTCATGATGACGGGCAGAGGCCAGCCTGGCTGCAGAAGCCAGTACGTGTGGGGCGGGTGGGAGGTCCAGGAGGGGGCAGGGTGGGCCACGGCGGGGAGCGAGGAATGCCCAGCACTTTATTTCTTTGGGGATGTGGACGGTTTGGGTTCTGAGCACTTCAGAGGGGCCAACTGGGGCTGAGGCCTGGGGGTGCGTAAGGCTGGGAGGGCCCTGGGTCCTGGACTGTCAGACCTATTCTCACTACGTGGATGGTAGGCAGTAGCCAGGGGAGGGGAAGGGCACCCGTGGTCACAGTGATGGCCCAGATGTGGGTGAGTGATGCCAGCGTGCAGCCCTACTAACTGCATGAGGAGGTGGCCTGGTAGGGGCCCCATGGAGCGCCAGAGGACAAGGGTGGCTATGCCTTCCGTCTCCAGGGAGGTGGAGACTGTGCCCAAGGCTGGGTGATAGGCCTGGCTGGAATCAGCCTTACAGATGTTGTGTCTGAAACAAGGGAGCAGTGAGGGACCCGCGGAGCCTGTGCGCTGGCCGTTACCTTCGTAGCCCGAGTGCACCCTCTCTGCCAGCAGCACGCAGCACAGCTGGCTCTCAGCGCCCTGCCGGCCTGGCACCTTCACCAGGTAAGGCGTCATGCGGAACGGGTGGTAGCGGACGTGCTCGTGGTTCTTCCCGACACTGCAGAGGAGGCGTGGTTAGAGGCTGGGCCTCTCTCGGAAGGGGTCGTCCTCGTGGGTGGTTCCCTTGCCCCCACAGCTGGCGGTCAAATCTCAGCAGCCCTCCCCTGTTGTACAGCTGCCCACGGACAGCGGTCTCTGCCACTGCCCCGCCCGTGGAGCTGGGCCCACAGCCCTGCTCCTTCTGTCCCCTCCCTCAGATTTCTGGTGACAGCAAAGGCTAAGTCACAGAGTCACAGCCCTGAGCAGTGTGCATTTTAACTGGGGAAAGGGCTGCTGCTCCAACAGTGGGGGCCTNTCTGCAAGGCTGAGAGGGCACCAGCCATCTAAGAAGCTGGGGCCTGTCGCATCTCCCTCCATGTGTCCCATTCTTCCCTCTGGGCTCCCCTGGGGGCCAGGGATGGGAGGAAAGGAAGGTTTATGATCTGGAGCCTGCAGGCAAATGAAGCTGCCAGTTTTCAAAGTCGAGCCCACATTCAGGAATTCCTACGTCCAGCCACTTCTTTCCCCCTCCTTGACAAGGTGTGTGTGCAACTGCCTCAGACACAGATGCAAACCGGGGCAAATACCAAGGTCATCGGGACAAGCCTTCCCACATGAGCCCTGGGGGGCCTGCTGTGTGGCTCACACTCCACTGTGAGAGTGTCCCCTCCTCCAGTGTCTCTGACATTGACACCTGGACACACTCTCCACCTCCTTCACACACTGGAACACACACGCACACCCAAATCCAGGCCCAGCATCTCTGACACACCTCAAAGCTCTTTTGTTTCCTCACATACATTGACGTCAGCGGTGAACTCCATTGTTCTGGAAACCAGAGTAAACAGACAGCTCATCCACACAGCAGGCTCTCCTCCTGCTTGAGTTTTCTTGGTCTTGCTCCATATTCATCCTGCAGCCTAATGTCACATTTCCTCCCTAAATTCCTTTCTACTTTGACATTAAAAATAGTGAAATCAGTTATTTTAGAAATTAAATGTTATAGGTTTCCAGAACTCTTCGAAATCTAATCTATTTCAGTGTCTCACAGTTAGTTTCTTCATTCTTGTTTTTGGACACTTTCATTCACTCCACAAGTATTGGTTGACACCTGGATATTGGGGGGGTGGGGGCTTGCAAACATGCATTTCATTGGATCCTTTGTTTGTTAGTAGTTTGCAATGTAGAAGGGTGATGAGGCAGGTTTGGAGGCAATTTCACCTAAGATGGGGTGTAAGTCCCTGGAGAACAGGACAGACCTGGGCAGAAGTCTCCATCCCAGCTCCAACAGGAGAATACTGAGGAGTGCAACCCCCCAGGACCAGGCCAAGTCCATGGGTGCCATTCTCACCAAGATGTTGAGTGAGTGTGTGTGTGTGTGTGTGTGTGTGTGTGTGTGTGTGTGTGCGCGCATGTGCGCGCACACACTGGGGCATTCAGGTTGGGGGAGGGGAATGAATCCTTTCCTGGTCAGCCTACACTGACATGGAAATTATTAGCCGTCGGAATTAGCCGTCACCTCTGGTACAGAGCTCTTGGCCAGGCAAATTGCTGTTGGCACCGGAGGAGGCAGGCTGGCAAGAAGGAAGCCTGGGGGAAGGGGTGGTGAGCCAGGTCCCCAGCTGCCTGAGGAACGCTGTCCTGGAAGGTGCTGACCTCTGGTCTCAGCCTTCACCTTACCTCCCCACCAAAGGCTGCTCTCCCCGTCCCCAGTCCAGTCCACCCCGCTATTTCCTCCAATGGGTGGAGCCTGAGTCAGCCCTGCCCACTCATACCAGGCCCTGCCTGGAGGGTCCCTCCGCATCTGGGCCATGCCACTTGCCGGCTATCTCATTCACTCATGCGCTCGGTGAGCCAGCTGTTTCCTCCTGGGCAACTACTTTGCGGCAGGCATTGTGTAGCCACTGCTTCCTCTTGATCACATGGTTTGTGGATCCACAAGCTGGGGCAGGAGCGAAGGACAGGGGCCTAGGAAGTGAATCGGATCTGTAAATATAATTTACAGGGGGAGGGCGGGGCAGCTTGTCCTCTCTAAGGAGATGGAGGGGACACTGTCAATCTTTCGGGTCCACCAGCCCCCGAGCCCCCTTCCTGGGTCCAGGGACATTGCAGATGAGAATGCCTGACCTTCACCCTCACTCTCCAGCTTCCTCATGCCTGGCACTGGTGGATGGCTGCTTAATGCACCTGCCCCTGGCTGGCACAGAGGCAGCTACTGGCAGGGACACCCTGAGGCAGCTGCCAGATGTGGGCACACAGGCATGGCAGCTGTGTCTTAGGTCTGCAGACTCTGGTCACTGCAGACAAGGCCCACCTGCCTCTTGTGGTTGGGAAGGCCTTGACCCAGGTGGTGAGCAGGGCTCTGGTGCTTCTGTCTGGATGTGGGGTGTTCTGTGGACTAGTGTAGAGAAGGTACCTTTATTGTGTGCAAGACACCTACTGAGAAGGGCTTTTTGCTTGTAAACTAAATATAGATCCAGAGAAGGCTGTCCACTGTTTTGGGGCGTTATGTGTGTTCTGTGTGCTCATATGTCTTCCCCCAGGAAGACACAGGTCGAACTGCCACCAATCAATGTGCAGCCTCCATCTTTCTTCCCCTGCCCCTGGAGGACCTGAGCGCATCTCTGAGCAGCGCTGCTGGGTCTGGGATGTTGGCACCCATATGCCTGCTGTCCCTTTGCAAACGACATTCTCGACGTCACAGTCCGATGGCACGGGCTAGGACATCCAGGATATTGTCGGATACAGGTTTTCAGAGTGGACCTCCTGCCCTGCTCTCAGGTCGAGGGAGCAAGTGCTCAGTATTTCACCAGAAAGTATGATGTTNGTGGCCTGAAGGCAAGAGCCTGCCTGGGAATTGAAACAGACCTGGAAGATGGTTTAATCTGAGCCCCTCTGTACAGATGAGGAAACTGAAGCCCAGAGGGGGGGCTCAGTCACCCAGCAGCAGCCGCTGGCTGGTGGCAGGGCCCCCCTTCCCCACCCAGCACCCCAGCCTCCACAGAAAGCCAGGGCTGTGTTAGCTCTGTACCAGTAAATCACACTCAGATGACAGTGACAGATAACTGAACACCCACGGTACCATTCCCATCCATGTGTTGGCATATCACGCAGCCTCCACTTAAAAATAAGGAATCCTTCTTTCCATTTTACTCATGCACCCTATAAAAAGTGATCAGCCTTGTATTTAAAAACTCAATTACCAATTAAAGCCTTCAGGTAAAATCCTGTTCCCTTCCCTGCCAAACCCAGCCAGGGACCAGAAACTCTGGGTGCAGTCGGGGAGAAGCCAGTGGCCCTGCTGTGTCGGATGGGGGAGGTGACAGAGGTACTCATGGGGGCTCTGCCATGGTGCTGGGGTTCTCCACATCTGGGGGACCTGAGGCCCCTCCCCCCAGATTTCAGCCCACTCAGGATTCAGCACCCAATTTCAGGCCTTCGTAGAACCTCGGAAGCTCATCCTGACCCAGGTCAAGACCCTCAGGATGATGGAGGACCCTGCAGACACCCTGAGCCCGGGTGTGGTCCTGCCATGACGTATGCCCAGCAGGCATCTGGGCCTCAGTTTCCTCACCTGTCAAGTCAAGAGGTGACCCTGGATGATTTCCAGGGTACTTTATGGCTCCGTTGCGCTGTAAGGCAGCTTCCCAAACTGGTTTTTTGTGTGTGTGTGGGTGATAGAAACCATGGCAACCAAGTTGTCATCCCTTACCCTGGCCTTCCTGGAGGGTTTAGCAGGCTGCCCCCCTCCCCCACTCCCCCCGGTCCATGTCCGTGGCTTGGCAGCCAAGGGACACCCTAGAAGGATGGTGTGATTACTGTATCACAACGTGGGACCGCCTTTCTACCCAACCTGGGGAGACAGAGTAAGTCCAGGGCGGTCCGGGGTGGGCATAGGGGGTACACATCGGGTTCTCAGGCCGCCTTGTCTCTGAAGACGCACTCCAGGGGACCCACGGGCTGTCCAGGTAGGGCTCCTAGGCCGGTGTCCATCAGTGACCCGCCCCCCACCCCCCGCTGGAAATTTGGCTGTCTGGCCTCAGAGCAGGAAGCCAGCTCCCCAAGGGGCCTTCCATGTTCCAGGGGCAGTTGCACTGACCCTTGGCTGCCGTGGCCGTCCCCTGTCCTCTCTCCTTTGGGGGAGGGAGGGTTCATTTTCACAAATCGTCTAGACAAGGACAGTCTGGTGCAGTCCCTGAGTAGCGCTGTGACCATAATCAAGTTGCCTAACCTCTCTGAACCTCAGTTTCTTGATCTGCAAAATGGGGATAACAGTACCCATCCCCAGGCTGGTTTCAAGCTGAGAAGGAGTCAGATGGCCCAGGAAGCTCTGGGGTCGCGCCTCGGTGGGCTGGAGGGACCGCCGCCGTCGCCCGGAGCCCGCCCGCCGGGACCCAGACCCGCCCGCCTGAAGCCCGGGCCGGCCGGGGCAGTTACGTAACCAGCAAGCCGGGCGGCCGGGCGGCTGTCGACGCCTCAGCCTGGGGTGCGTTCCCCGCCGCGCACTCACCGGGGAGCCGCGTCCTCCTTCGTCTGTTCGCTGGTGCGTCCGCCGCGTCTGCCCACCGACCCTGCGCCGGTTGCCGCAGCCGCTAAGAGCAGCGCGTAGACCTCAGCGCCGCTCGCCTCCGCCGCTGCCGCTGACTCGCCGCTGTCACATAGTGGAAAACGTGACCGCGCGCGCCTTGCCCGCCCCCGGCGCCCTCCATTGGCCGCCGTGCCTCTTTATTTGCATACCGGGGGGCCCGGCCTGAGAGCGCCGCGCGTCCATTGGCTGCGGTGCCCGTCGCTCTTTTTACATAAGACGCACATGGAACTCCATGTTCACCGCGTCGGTTCCTCAATGAAGACGCGGCGCGCTCGTGCCCCCCTCCTCGTCTTCCCGAGTGGTTCCTCCCACTTCCGGCCTCGGCGCCTTCCATTCAGGATAGCTCGCGTCCTCAGGCTCGGGGAGCGCGGAGTGGCGCGTACCACCGCGAGGCGGGGGAGCTGGGCGCGGGCCCGGCATCCGCTCCTGTGCACCTCTGTCTGGCGGGCCTGGCGGACGAACCCCCGCTGAAGCCCAGGCCCCGGGAGGCTGCCGCCCTCGGCTACAGGCCAGAGGCGCGCTCCTGGGGGCCATGGCCACGGGAAACTCCCTGCGGAGAACCGTTCATTC